TAATGAGGGCCATGTAGATTGTTGCGACTGTGTCTACAGTATGCTGGCAGCCAACGGATACATGAGGAGGAGGTGAAGCCATGAAGGTGGTCATGGTAAGTGCAAAACTGTTTGCGAAATGTGATAAGCGGTCGTCGGAGTTACCTTGTTGAGACACATACTGACTGGGCCAGGCGCTTCAGCACTGCTTTCACATCACTGAGCGTTCAAATGGGCATAATCAATCCAGACATGCTAAGACTCAGTGCGCAATGGCGTGTTTACATGTTTCTAGGCTCGCTCGCTCATAGCGAATAACAATTACTAAATTTGACGAGGCAGGGTTTTATTTTGATGATTTAAAAGATGACACAAAACGTGTCTAACAGTACTTTCGTCCCCCCTCTTTAGTAAAGCAATATTAAAGAAATATTTACCCTTCGGTAGAAGTTGTCTGGTCACAACTGAAAGTTCTTTGACATAGTGATGGAACTAAACAAATATTGCACGCAACTCTTCTTGAACTCGGCATGGGCCCATCGTTTCTTAATTGGTGTTGTTCATTGAACTATGTGGCTTTTTGTCTGTAAAAGAGTGTAATTTTATACTATACATCTGTCATTATTTCAAAAGGTATCACTTGAGAGTAACATTCTTTAAACGATCTTTTCTTCATTAACTAAGATGTGAATGGATTTCTATCAACGGAAGTTGGCTCCTGACAATGGGAAGGAGGCATTGGTTTCTTATTTGTGAGATATGCATGCTGCTGGTGCTAGTGAAGATCATTCTCACCGTCTTCATTGCAAACTGTGAACTGCGGGATGGCCTTCTGGAGCCAAACGATAACCGTAACATGCGTTATTCTAAATTGCCCATTTCGAATGTATCCAAAGGAAGCTCAAGTCCTCCACAATGTCTTACCTGGAGCAGGAAGCTGCAAGGTTATTTGGATAATTTGGCGTTGAACAATTGTTCTCGCTGGAGACCGGAGGTTTTCAAATGTTCAATCATCATTGTCACTTACAACGAGCTACCAACCACCCTAATTAGCACAATCGGGAGCATTGAAAGCAATACTTCCAAAGAGCTGCTTCAAGAAATACTCATCGTGGATGACAACAGTGAGAAACCAGTTAGTCTGGATGGCCTGAAGGGCACTACACCAGTAAGATGCTGGCTGTTTTTAAATATTACACATGATTAGAGTTAGTATTTAATAGTTAGACTATACTGTGCCCAATGCATTGTGAATCTTTTTAATCGATCCGGGGGAAGCGAATAATGATTTCTCGATTGAGAGGGCACACCCACAAAACTATTGAAGAATGATGCAGAAATGAACATATCTGCTAACCAGGCATTCTTCCTGGACGTCACTTCCACGTGTCTGACTTTGTAATCTATCTCCTTTGTACAATCCACTGAACACGTCTCAGTGATTAATCGTCTTGCTTAGGCCGAATCGTAGTGGGTATGCTCAGATGTTCATTAACCATTGATCGGATGGCACAGTACTGGTAAATCTCGACTACTGCAGTTCTAGCAGCACGAATAAAGTAAGCATTGCCAATACAAGCGAACATGCGGGTAATTGCTGTCCCAGCGATCAAAGCTTCTTCTAAGGTTACTATTGTCAGACTATCGCAGCACGTGATTGGTCATCATTTGTTCCAACTGCTGATGTTTTTCAGACATTTCTTACCCGAATTTACATGGCTTGTTTTCCCTTGATTTCACTTCCCAAAATTGGATCAGTTCCACTTCAAGACTATGAGCCTGTTTACGTGACGATCACGACGGTGCGTTAGTGTGGGAAGGGGCAACTGGCAACTTCTGAAACCTTGTTGGCATCCGCAAATTCCCGCCAAAGCTTAGATTCTACGTTGTTAACCTTCTCTCCTCATCCTTGCATGCATTTAGTTTCTAAACTGTACATATATCTGTCATAATAGGGTACTCACCCATTTGATGAGGAAAATATTGTTCCCGTGGTGCCTTGAAGCCCAAACTACAGTCCTCGCAGGTAGTCGCATAGCGCCTTGTAATATGTTATGCAATAGAACCGACAAAAACAATCTCGCGTGATCCACACATGCGATTGGATATGACTGGCTAATGACGGCCAATGAGCCAGGAATGTGCATGTTCCCTAACCGTTTCGGTGAGTACCTCACTATTATCATATTCCCGATCGCAACCGAAAAAAAACAAAGGGCCAGTAGCTCAAGGGTAGAGTGTTACACTCCATGCCCAAAAGCCGCGGGTTCGAATCTTGAGGTGTGGACCTGGGATGGGATTTGACTGGGTGATAACGACTAATAATTCACTTATCTTCGTCAGTTCCCCGCCGAAAGAATTGCAAGGCGGCAATTTGGTCTTCCCTTTCAACGCGGTTTGTCTTCCTGTGTGACATCTGAGAAGAGGAGCCTGCGCTTTTCCGCTCGTGCGGAGAGATTCACTTAAGAAGAAGACGACTCGATCGCTGCGACAATACATTTATTCGCCTGACGTTTCGACATCCGTCGCGGATGTTCCTCACCCTTACCCTAACCCTCACCCTAACAGAAATTAATTGTGTAGGCATTTAAATATAAATAAGAACATATGTGCGCTACTAAGGAAACTCCTGCCGCGGATTCATCATCAGAGACGTATTTTACCCGATTATACTTCCTTTTAAATTTGTGCATTCACAAAGGCTACATTCTTGTGGAAAATTACATTTTTGCGAGGCTTAGGCAGGATAGTTCGGTTTCTGTGGTATTTGGAAATTTCGCGCCTTTTCTGCATACGTGCTTCGTTAGCCATGGCCTTAGGCCTGAATACAAGGCCTTTTTAATATTGTGAAGCCTATCAACGTGTAAATCGTGATTCCCTGTTAGAACCATGTAAAATTAAAGAGAACTCATTAAATCGTTGTTTGGAGTTAAATAAACACTACAGGTTGTATATGTATATTTTAAGGGTTACAGGCAAGAAATGCCCTTGAGGACCCTA